TTTTGTTATAATATTAATGTGTAAAAATACATAAATAATATTATAATAAAAAAATTTAGAAAAGTTTTGCTTTCGCTAACACAAAAACGCTAAAACTCCCTTTTCCAACATTTTCCTTCCTGTTTTTTATAATGAATCACGAGCCCCTTCCGTTTTTTCTTTTTTTGCTTTATTTACAACATTATTATTATTTTTCTATCAACTCACTATAATTAGTAGAAATGCTCTCTTATTTCTAGTCTATTCTACCTCAAAATTAAATTAAATTATTTTAAGTTATTCGCAATCGGAAAAGGAATTTAATTTGATAAGTGATCCAAAATATTATCACATTATAATAAAAAGAAATGATTCGCTTTAGAAAAATGAAGAATTTATTTTTATGAATATAAGATTTTTTATATATAAAAAATAAAAATTAAATCCTAAATTTGCAACAAATAGTACAATTTATTTTATACAAAATCACATCATTGATGACATTTCTACTTTGTATGGTAAAACCCCATTAAACTGTGTATAATAAAACTCTATTAAACATAAAGAAAAACTGTTTATTAGTCACATTTGTAAAAAAATTAGATAAAAAATTTAAAAATTACATCTTTTTAATTAATTTTCATTAAAAAATTAAAATATCATAACTTTTTCAAATAAAAATGAGATTGTTTTAATTTTTTAATAATATTTTATTAAAATAATATAATTTTTAATTTTATACCTAATTTTTTATAGGTTTACTGATAAATACTAATTTCTAATTTTGATAAAACTCGCAAGGAAAAAAAAATTATAAAATTGGATAAAAAGGAAATATATTAAAAAAAAAATCAAATAAAATCAATATTCACTACCAGGCGCAACTAACTGACCTACCAAATACGCCCACCAAATCTCTTCTTTCCCATCGTCTGTTCTTGTTGTCCGTACACAATGACTCTAGGAAGCGTTACGGTGATCATATTTCTTCTCAGAGAGTAGAAGTTTTTGTTTTCTTTGATTTATTGCAGTGTGTAAATGGTTTGTCTTGATGGATTTGGAATGTTGAAGATTATCTGTTTGGCTTCTGGGAAGTTTACAGTGAGCTGAAATGATAGAGAAGGAAAGATGAAATAATACCTAGGGTTATTTAAACTTAACTAAAACCCCAATTAGGTGAACTTGTAAGGAACATGGTGAGATGAGTATAGGTTATACAAGAGACATTTCTTGAGATTCATATTATTGCCTGAATACCTGTCCTTAAGTTCTACTCTCATTTTCTACTAAATCAAATTTATATTCTAATATTTTTTTCGAATTGTCAAGTATTTATTTTACTTTATTTTTGTGTATGTAAGTTAAATGGTATATATGAAATTTGATGCAATTCCAAATTAATCGATTTTAGAATTATGATATATCCCATTTTTATACAATTCCACTATTGTTTCAAAAAAATTAACCCCCTTAAGTGAGCTCTCTCTTTTGATCGTGAGATATTTGTCTCACATCATTTTTATATACGTAAGTTAAATGGCATATATGAGATTTCGTATAATTTTAAATTAGTCAATTTTAGAGTTGTAGTGTGTCTTATTTTTGTACTATTTCACTACCATTAAAGAAAAAGGAAAAAGAAAACTTATATTGTAATATTTGTTCACATGCTTGACTCATGACTCCAAACGGAAAGGATAGAAGGTTAAAAAACCTTAGAAATGAAATCAAAACAAGAGCAAGGCCATTATTGTCAATACAGGCTTAAGAGTATGGGTAAATTAGTAAAAGCGTGTACAACCATCGTACAACCCACTAAAAAAAAAAGGGGTTAAATGTTAATTTGGGTACCTTAGTTTTAAAATTTTATATAGTTTTAGTCTTTAAATTTTTTATAATTTTTTTAGTCCTTTCTAACAATAAATATATGTATATATTTTTAATTTTTTTATCAATTAATCTATTAAATTTATTTATATATGTATATTTTTATCCTTTTAACTTAAAAATTTTATATAATTTTTATTTCTTAATTTAAAAATTTAATATACATATATAAATAAATTTATTAAACTAACTAAAAAAATTTAAAAATATATTTTTTATAATTAGAAGACAAAAAATAAAAAATAAAAAATTGAAAATCAAAAACTGTACAAAAGTCTAAAATTAAGGAACCAAGATTGCCATTTAACCAAGAAAAAGCGCAAACAAAAACAGAGTTTATGCTATCGCTTTGTTTATCTTTATCCTGCCCCAGATTTTTTCTCTTTTTGAAGTACAAATTCGAGCAAAGCAAACACGTGTTCTCTTCTGTAGATGAAAGTCCTCCTTCCATAGGTGTACTTTTCCTAGCTCAGACTCAAACCATCAATCTCTCTAGAGTAATGATATATATAATTACTAACGTGGGGGATTATAATTTGGTTTGCAGGTTCTGATCAGGGCTGCGATTTCTTCTTCAAGTTTGCTAATTCCTGTTTGGCTTCTGAGAAAGGTAGGGAAGGAAAGGAAAATATGACACATTTTAATTCTTTTCGTGCTTCTTATTTAATTTTTTTGCTACCCTCAATTTGTTCGATTATGGGTTTTTTTTTTTTTTCTTTTTTTCTGGGTTTAATTGGAATGTGTTTGTGTTTTTTTGCTTAATTTTTTTGATCAGTGTTTAATTGGTGTGTGTTGAAGTGTTGAAATTGAATACTTCTCAAATTGGGGCAGAGTTTGATGTGGTGTGTCTGTGAATGGGGATTTAGTGCAAGAATGTGCCGGTTAAGGCATTATTAATTTGAATTGGAATTTGAATGGCTGGGGTTTTGTAATATATTTGGATTCAGAGTTGGTTTATTCATTGTTTTGGGATTCTATTTCATTTCGTAAATTAGTGCATGATCAAACTTGATTGGTATGACTAGAACTTATTATGAATAAGTTCACGAGACAGAACTATATATCTGATATGAGTCTGATTGTTTGATTTTGTTGGGAAAATTGGAACGTTTAGATCATTTTGATTGCATTGTGCTTAAGTGTTTGCCAAAAATCTTAAATTACATTATGAGATTATGGAAGTTAGGATTTTGTTTTTGGATTGGTCTGTGTTTACGTCATTAAAAACATTGCAGAGAAATTGCAAGAATTAATGTATCTTTCCTCTTAGAAATCTGGACTCGATGGTTAACCATTAACCATTAACTGTTTTTTATATCTTTCCAAAAAGGAGAATGAGTCAATGACATGAGTACTTAGAGTTCTGGTTTTAGATGTTATTCAAATCCTTATATGTGCAAATTAAAAGACCATGTTTTGGAAACTATTTGTAGTTAATGTTTGACATTCTTCTGGCCAAGGAGAAAAATGCTTAAAGAAAAATATTTTCTGTGAATAGTTGTTAGTTTGGATGTCTTAGAAGTAATTTACATTCTTATTTTAAGTAAGGAAGATATGAATGGAAGCAAATAATATTATAAGCAAAAATCATTAATTGTGATTGTGGTCTTAGACTCTTAGCTATTTGGCATTGGCAGGGTGAAGCCAGGGTGAAGCATAGCTTGTACTCGCATAACTCAAAAAAGATTTTTTTTTTTTTCCTTCCTTTTGAGATTGGGCCACATGTATGCAAAATACTCTATCTGCATTAGTGAGTAGGATGCAAAGAAGTTTCTGGATTAATTTAGGGCACATTGCACCATATTATTATACTGTCTGTTATCCTCTTTCTTCTTTTCTTATGCAGTTGTTAGGTATGTTACATAAACTTAGGATTATTAGTCTTATATTTACATTGATGTTTAGTAGGTGTTTTCTTATTTGGAAGGATCCAAGAGTCATACCCATACCAATTTAAACTGTTCAACAAGTTTCAGAGACAGCTTCATTAAGGAAAGTGAAGAGCCCATGTAAAACAAGTTGGTAGTAGATCTGTTTGTTATTGGATATCTGTCTTATTAGAAAGGAAAATGTGCAGTTTTCTTTCATTTTGCATTGATTGACATTGGAAATAGAAGAATTATGAGCTGTTTGGAGAGGACATCCATATTCATTTAGATTTTTCCTAAAGATGGTGAAATTGTAAGGAAGCATAAACTTCTATATCAAGAAGTTTTGCTTTGTAGTATTCAGGTTTTATTACTTTCTTTTTCCTTGGCATGGCATTTGGTCTCCAAGCAAGCACATTAAATTATTTTCAGTTTAGGTTCTTAGTGCGAAATGGGATAGGAGGAAGGAAAAAATGCACGTGCTCTGTATCTTTCTGTTTGGAACTTTTGGGGAGTAAATGGGGGTCGGTGAAAGGATTTTAACCTTGGACCTCTCTTTTTGAGCATTGGGATAGTGTTTGCATTCAATATACCAATCAATTCAAAGGTATAAATTTGGGAATTATCATCATTTAAAATTTTTATTGACTAACAATAGTTAGAACCATTGGCCAATATTGGTTTTATTAAACAAAGAGTCTACTGATCATTTGTGCCTGTCTGCTGGTGCAATGTTGGTTCAATCTGCTTTTATGACAAATTCATGCATCAAGTTTAGTTTAGGCAACTCCATATTTTAGTTATTTTAGTCTCATATTTCATGTGTTTCATATTTTTGGAATATTTTATGTTTCCATGCTAATTTGGTAACTGCCTTTGGGTATTCTTTTAGCTTAGAAGACAGGTTGTTTGGGTGGACTATGGAACGCGAAACTAACAAAAGTGAAACTGGGAATGCTGTGGAAGCCTCTGCAAAATCACAATCATCTGAAAAGAAAACGCCAAATTCACTGAAGATGAGATTGAAGATTGCAAAGTCAGTGGCTAAGAACTTTGCGAAGACTAAAAACGCCAAAGTTACTACAGATGTTCAAAGAAAAAACCAAAAGAAGAATAATAAGAGAATATTCAGTCGGAAAGAAAATGAAAAAGGTGCTAAGGAGCTCATTTCAAGGGAAGAGAACCAACACAATAATGCTCCTGGTGAAGACCATGTTGAAAATAGCCAGCAGAGCCAAAAGAACCAAGAAAATATCACCATGTCTGACAATAACCAAGCAAAGGTAGGGAGGAAGGAAAAGGATGGAGGTTCTGATAAGAATCAAAACAAAGAAAAACGTGGTCGTGAGGAAAAGAGAAGACGAAATCAGAAAGAAAGGCATGGTCTTTCAGAGAAGAATCATAAGAATAAAGAAAAGCATGATGGTAAGAAGGGACAACAGAATGAGGGGAAAGAAAAACTTGATGGTTTGATCTTTATGTGCAGTACAAAGACAAAACCAGATTGTTTCCATTATCGTGTGATGGGGGTGACAGCTGGTAAAAAAGATCTTGTCTTGGGTATCAGACCAGGGCTTAAGCTTTTTCTCTATGATTTTGATCTCAAGCTTATGTATGGCATCTACAAGGCATCCTCTTCTGGTGGCATGAAACTTGAGCCCAAAGCCTTTGCTGGAGCCTTTCCTGCTCAGGTAGCATTGTTTTGTTCCTGACTTTCCATATTGTTTATCTCTTCACCAATTTAAGCATTCCTGTGTGATTATGACTTGCATTTCAGGTGCGTTTCAAAGTTCATGCAGATTGTTATCCTCTCCCTGAGAGCATTTTCAAGAAGGCAATCAAGGAAAATTATAATGAAAAGAACAAGTTCAAAATTGAACTCACTGCTAGACAGGTCAGAAAATAAAAAATTAATTTGCCTTGCAGTTTGGCGTCCTTTTAAGTTTTAGATTTTGTAAGATTGCTATTTTTCCATTTCAGGTTAGGAAGCTCACAGGACTTTTCCGGCCAGTTGCACTCCATTCAACTGCGATGCCTGTTCGCTCCCCACCAAGGGAAGCATATGATGGACTAAGGGAGTCACGACCTCACTCAGACAGGGAAATATCTGTTAGAGACCCTTATACCCATGTGGATGCTAGAAGTTATGCGGTTCTATCCCATGAAAGGGAATGTGAAATTGCATACAGAGAGTTGGCATCTAAACACGATGAGGAAATTCCTCGTGATTTATACCTGATTGAGAAGGATTACAGAGCTTATGGTCTCCTGGGAGAGAGAAGAAACTTGACCAGCCAACATCATATTGCACCTAGAACAGCACCGTACATGAGAGATTATGATAGAGTGCAGCTTCTAAGACAGACGGACCCTCTATATAGGGAAACTGTACCTGTGTCTAGAGAGATTACTCATGCTGATCCTCCTTACTTGACAGAGGGAATGTATAGGACTTATGAACTGGCTGCTAGCCGTCAAGTGCCACCTGTAGTTCCTGCAGCCACTGCAAGTACATCTGTTACTTCTTTGGATCCTTATGCTAGCTACCCTTATCATTATGGTGCTACATCTGTGGACACGTATCTGCCACCTTCGAGGACAAACACTCATGCATATGGCACTGATGCTGACCATAACCGGATGCATCGTTATCAAGCTGACCAGCCGGAGGGCAGTTCCATGCCAGTTTCATCTCGGTATTCTTTTGCCAGTCCATCTGTGTGTTATCGCAAGCTTGAATTATAGTTGCTCTTGGTAACTCCCTACCCAGGATATCACACAAGCAATTTACATTTGTAGACTCACTACCATTTGTTTGCAAGCTTAAGAGCTTTGACATGGTTGTATGCTGAAATTACGACCATAGATAAGTAGTCTTATGTGCTTATTAAGAATGTCAATCTGTTTTGCCTACCTAACTGTAACTTCAGATGATGTTGAAGTACTGAATCATCAATATATATGTATAAAACAATTATAAAAATTTTATAAAAAATTATAAAATTAATCAAATTTGGGATTCTGTTTCTGAAGTTACTAGTTTGTTTGTAGTTGTAGTTGGCAATGTTATAGTTATAATATTATATAAGATTATAAGTTGGTGTTAAATGAAATAAGACATGATATTAGATGTATTTAACATGATAAATAAATTTTTCTTGAAAAATTTATTATATAATGATATGTTATATTGTAAATTTATAATGTCACTTTAGTATTTTCGTTAAGCTTTTGTGGCAAAAGATCTTTGAAGTGGCGAAGTGATGTGGCCATGACTGCGGTAAGATGACTGATTAATGTGAGCACAAGTCATTGTAATTTCTAGTTACCTGCAATTCGAAATTCCACAATCCATGATTTCCACGCTCAGCCACTCCCCTTATGCTTCGTTTTTTTTTTTTTTTTAATTAACCTTCCGATATTTGGTAACTACATTAGATCTCCATTAATCCAGAATAGAATCGCGTCAGATCTCA